CTGCGTTCTACATAGTCTCCCTGAACACAAGACCAAGTTGCGACAACGAGGTCAACCCACTTCTAAAAGTTTGCTAATGCCTATTTCCAGCGTTGGAAGGTTTCCAGATTATTGGCCATTCTCGAATACGAACAAAATTGTCCTGACTCGTTTAAGGTGCTTTAAGGACTGGTAGGTGAGTTTTACTCAAATCAGATGAGCAGTCCTCAGGGTCCCATTGAATCTCACTTAGTCTTGCCTCGCAAAACAGTATTTCGCTATAAAGTGGACTGAGCTTCCGACCCCGTATGATCGTATCCTCTTATCATCACCACTTTCAGCCGAATTCGGTACTTGGTCGTGATTATTGTGGTGACGGATGTATGCGGGCCACTTGTCTTTTGCCATTGCATTAGGTGATGCTACTTATTTAAATGTAAGTAGCGGTCATTCTGGAATAGGAACTTAGTCCAGGTCGCTTAAGATAATTTTGAGCACTGATAATTGAGTTTTCATACAACCAGATGTGCATACCTCAAGATTCCGTAGAATTTTACGATGATCACCATTCAGTGTTGAATCCCGCTTGGGCGAGGTCGAAACCACGGTCCAATTGCGATTAAAAACCGTTAACTAGCTCATCCTCCTGCAACCGGATCCATCTGAATATCACTCATCGTGAGCTACGTTGTCATAACTTGAAACCATTTTTTATAAAAAAACTTTACCAGTTACTAAGGCAAAAAAGTTGTCCGGCTGCAGCCTAAATTTTTCCAACTTTCCTGTCGTAGTACTTAGTGGAATTATCTAAAAATGCTTTCACGATTTGGCAACTTCTGTCATGGCTGAACAGACATACGATGAGTGGTGAGGCTAATTTACACATTCCTTCCAAAAGTCCAATGAGGCTGAATTGGTTAAGGATTCTTCGAAACCCTTGTCCTGGAGATGGTCCCGGAGATTGTCCAGCAGACAAGGACAGTGGGCCTCGGAGACGGCTTTCTCGCAAGAAGGATTCTGTAGTGGAAAAGAGGAAAAAGTTCGTAAAATCTATGACGGTTTAGTGCGTTATACGCTTGCTGAGGCGACCTAGACTACACTTTTATCTCGGACTGTGTCTTATGCAGGTATGCCTCGAGTATACCACTTATGAAACTCTCTCAGACTGACTGCAAAATAGTTGGCTTCGGGACTAGGCTTGACTTTGAAGTGTTGCCCAAACACTAGGCCAGATATTAGAGGCAGCCCACGAGGCAGCATGAGAAGGCTGGGGCGGCAATTGGAAGGGGGCAAGACCACAGAATGTTGTGGTAGCATTGGGAAAGCGGGCCGAGAGCTGGGAACAGAACAGGAAGTGGCCTCGACAAAAGGCCAGACATTTCGCCTTATATTCAACTTTTTCATTCGAGGTCACTTTCCATGATTTTCCAGCCTGGTAATGTCTATTCGTGTGCATACGTGTTTGTGTGAAAACGAGGGATATATATTTACACATACACATGTGTGTGTGTGTGTGTGTGTGTGTGCCTAAGCCGTAGTGGATGGACCGGGAGAAGAGCAGAGTAGTGGTCAAAGGTCATATTCACCTTTTAAGCCCTCTGCGCAAATTAATCATGGCGTAAGGAGAATGAGGAGAGAAGAAGAGAGAAATAGGGATATATATATATATATATATATATATATAGAGAGAGAGAGAGAGAGTGGGGAGCGAGAATGACCTGCCAGAATGCATAACATGGGCGGGTCAAATAAAGTGTCAAAACGAGGTAGATTGGAGCGTTTTCGTCCCATCGACCATTGGGATTGCGGATCTTGACGGCGCAAGTTTGGCCATTTGTCCGTTGTGACTGTGTAGGCTGGAGCCTCGTGTGACCGAGTGAAATGAAGACCAGCTGGTCTGACTTAAACTTCCTTTGGAAGCCCCTTATGCGGTTTTGAAACCTTGAGAAGATCTTGAGTAGGCCAACTAAGGTGAAATATACCAAGAAAAGTTGGGTTTCGAGGAATCTCTTGTTTCATAATTGTTGGGCTTACTTCCATTTCGAGT